TTCCTCTCATCACTGCTTTGCACACTGACTCAATGGCTCTGCAGAAGATGCTGTGTGGTAGTCTGCTGAAATCCTTTCTTTATCACGCTGGCTGTAAGACAGAATTCAGGATAGTCACTTGACATCACCAACATGGAGGACAAAAGTGTATACTGACTTGTAGAAATACACTAAGGCGGAACAGAAGCAAGGCAGAAATGCATTTTATAATTTAAACTTAACTAATAAGCATCTCACTCTCCTGGGAAAGATTGTGTGCCTGCTGAGTTTGTCCGAAGGTACTGCTGCTGATCGTCCTCCATGCAGTTCTTTACCTTTCAAGCAGACTTCAAATAGAGACTATAGTATTTTCAAAAGGATTGTCCTCTAGCAGCTATTCACATGGGGGAATATTCTCCCCAAAGGAGGCTTTATGGTCACCCTATTAGGATTGACATTTGTCCACTAAGAGCCGTAGAATAATAGAGTTGGGAGGGGCTTAAAAGGCAATTGAGTCCAACCTCCTGCTCAAGGCAGGAATCCAAATCAAAGCAGATCTGACAGATGGCTGTCCTATTTTTCTTCAATGCCTCTAGCACTGGAGTGCTCTCTACCTCCCAAGGTAATTGGTTCTACAGTCATATTATTTTAGCAGTTGAGATGATTTTCCTGATAGTTGACTTAAAGCTGGCTTCATGAGCCTGAGCCCATTGTTATATGACCTGCAGTCTAGGATGGCTGAGAAGAGATCTTGCTCCTCCTCTGTACGACTTTCAAGTATTTGAAAAGTGCTATCCTATCACCCCTCAGTCTTCTTTTCTCAAGGCTAAATATGCCCAGTTGTTTCAGTCTTTCCTCATAGGGCTTGGTTTCCAGTCCCCTGAACATTATTATCACCGTTCTCTAAACTTGCTCCAATTTGTTGGGATCCTTCTTAAAGTGTGGTGTCCAGAAGTGGAAAACATAGTTAGAAAAGGCCTAATCAATTTTGCAGCCACATCACACTGTTGGCTCATATTCAGCTTGTGACCTACAATTCCAATATCGTTCCTGCTTGTAATACTGCTGAATCAAGTCTCCCCCATCTTGTAACTGTGCATTGGGTTTTCCCCCAGGTGTAGAACTTTGCACTTATCCCTGTTAAATTTCCTTCTGTTGTTTTCAGTCCAGTACTCAAGCATGTTCTGTTGTTTTCAGTCCAGTGCTCAAGCATGCGAGGCTCTTTTTGAATTTTGTTCCTACTTTCCAAGGTATTAACTATTCTACCCCATATTGTGTCATTTGCAAATCTGACAAATATTCCCTGTATTCCTTCATTGAAGAGCACAGGGCCCAGATTCAACCTTGTGGTATCCCACTTGTTACCTTCTCCCAATTTGAGAAGGAGCCACTGATAAACACTCTCTGAGTACAATTCTGTAGCCGATTGTGCATTCACCTGATAGTTATTCTATCCAACCCACACCTAGTTGGCTTGCTTATCAGAATATCATGGGCACTTTGTCAAAGGCTTTGCTGAAGTCAAGAAAGGTCTTAGCCTGCTCCTGTCTCTCAGACACTTGATCTGTCCTAGTAGCCAATAGGTAGTTCTTCTGTATCATGGAGACATAAAATGGGATTTAGCAATTGCTAACTACTGCATTCAAACTGCTGCTGGAAGGGACCAGTACAAAACTGGAAGCTGGGAGTTAGCTTTTGTGACAAGATCCTTCAGTAGCCACACATTAAGGAAGAAATTCAATAGGTACACACTTTCTGGTTGCTGTTTTTCACTATGGAAACAGCTGAATTTCCTCATCATCCCACTTATGACAGAGGAGATGCGATAGAGTTATGCTTATTATTGAAATGTCCAATAATTTTAGCCTATTCATATCTTAAGCTCTTCTTCAGGATGTGAAAAAAGTCTACAGAAGTTCCAGTACAAAAACTCTTCTGGTGATGGTACAGAAAATTTAAAACAGAAATTCCGCACACAGTTTTCCTGACACGTCTCTTTGCTATATGTGTGTGTGTGTTATATTTTGGTGTTTCTACATTTCTTTATCATCCATCTGTTAAAAACACAATGCTAGATGTCAGAGAAAAAACAGAAATGAAACATTACTGGTCAATACCTTGGACTTTCCTGTTTCCCTTTTCCTGGGCCAGCCTGTTACTCCTGAGTGAATAGGATGCTGTCATGTTTGCAGTTCTAATGAGATTCAACTGCAAGTCATTCAGTACAGGGTCAACCCAACATGTTTTCCTGTTGGAGGCAAACTGAGTTAGTGCCCCCACTCATTGCATGTAGAAAATGTGGCAAATGAATTGTTCTTCAACATGAATGAGAGGCAGTGCCTTCCACAGCACCAGGAGGCAGCATGTGAGCTGAGGGAGAGTAAAACAGGCCATGAGGAACTTACTTCTCTCCAGCAACGCCTTGCATCCACTTCCCAGCATCTGCCCCATAAGGCAAGTGCTAGTTTGGGAGAATATTTCCTGAAGATGTGGGACATAGACGAAAACAATATAGTGGTATTTCAAGCAATTTAGCAAAAGAAATGTGTTTGTAAAGAATGTATGTTTACTCCTACCTGACAGATATTTTCGTGGTTAAAGGATCCCTTTAGGAGTCCTAGAACCCACCAACAGTTTTCCAGTTTATTTGAAGGGAAGAGCTCCAGGACTCCACCTTTTAGAATAGGCGTAGACATGATGGTTTACAAAAGCAAAACCTATGTTGTAGGCAGAAGTTAAATCATATAATAATAATAAAATAACAACAACAACAACAACAACAACAACAACAACAACAACCACAACCCAGGAGCGTATAGCCTTAAAAGGCACAATCAAAAGGCAGAGAGTTTATGTCTGTGGTTGAGGCATCTGGCTGTGAAGCCATAGGTTGAGTGTTCGATTCCCCACTGTACCTCCTTGACAGGAGCTGAACATGATGGTCCATAGGATCTCTTCTAGCTCTGCAGTTCTAAGATGATGATCTCCTTTAATCATATTACTGCACACACATGAAAAATTTTCTATGTGCTCAGCCAGCCAGGCCAGTCTGAATCTATATTACTTTTATTAAAGACTTATCCACCAAAAGTTTCACAATTTGCATCCATGTTCCTCATGCTATTGATTTTCCTTTGGAAATCATCCAATTACCGGTAGATATGATGTAAGTTATGCCTTAAATTTTAAATTTTGCTTTTGGATTATTTCTTGTGTACAACTTCTCATAGTTGTTTGAATTTTTATGGCAATCATACTTGCAGTTTTTCATAAGTTATAATAATGGATTTCTGTTTAAATTTATGCTTATGTTCCTCATGCTATTGATTTTCCTTTGGAAATCATCCAATTACCGGTAGATATGATGTAAGTTATGCCTTAAATTTTAAATTTTGCTTTTGGATTATTTCTTGTGTACAACTTCTCATAGTTGTTTGAATTTTTATGGCAATCATACTTGCAGTTTTTCATAAGTTATAATAATGGATTTCTGTTTAAATTTGTGCCTATACAGTAGTTTTTCTCATAATTGTAATAATCTTTTTTAAACATTTTGTTCTGTTACTTTTTAAATTTCTTTTTATGCATAGAGGCAATGTAGATGAATAAAGCTTTTAGAACCAGGCAAGCTGGTGTTGCCTGCAACCATTCCAACAAGGAAAATACTTATACCTTGATACCCAGATTTTCATACTGTTTTCATACTGAAATCAGTTCTTTCAGGGATAAATGTCAGCTGTGATGAACACAGCCTTTTGATGCCTCGTAAAGGTCCAAAATGGAATATACTCTGGTTTCTTTTCAGACTGAAGACCTCTTTTATTCATTTATTTATTTTATTTCAAATATTTTTAACTTGCCATTCTCCTTAAAAAAGTACTCAAGATGGTTTACATCTTCCATAAAGGTCTGTAGGTCTCTTAGGGAGGTATTCAAGCATCAGACTTTCTGAATTGACACTCCCAGAAAGGAGAAATATGCCATATTTAATTTTGGAAACTGTAGACCAGGAAATGCTCCTCACCAAGATGGCTGATAACAGGCCTCGTTTTTTACCTTGACATTGCTTTCCAACTCTTGGTTCTTTAGGTTAAAATTTATGTTTTAGGACTACAAGTGCCAGATTCCTCCTCCTATGCTGACAGGGAGATTCTGAAAGCTTTGTTGTTCTTCTTCTTGTTGTTGTTGTTATGTGCCTTTGAATCAGAACTGACTTACAGAGACCTTAATAGAGCTTTCAAGGCAACTGAGATATTTCAGGAGTGGTGCTGGTCAATGACCGTAATAAACATTTATTATTATTATTATCAGGAGCGGTTTTCCTAGTTCCGCTCCCCAAGGGAACTTCCATGGCCAAGTGGGGACTTGAACCCTGGCCTCCACTGTTGCTGTTGCTGTTATTATTATTATTATCAGGAGTGGTTTTCCTAGTTCTGCTCCCCAAGGGAACTTCCATGGGCAAGTGGGGACTTGAACTCTGGGCTCCATCATCCTACTCCATCACTCTATCTACTACACTATACAGTACAGGATAGCTTTCTGGAAGCTTTTAGCCCCTAGAAAGTACCATTTCTCAAGCTAGACTCTTGATTCCTACCGTACTTCTTTGAGAGAAGAACAGCAACTAATCCAGTTAAAGGCCTCTGTTTCTGTCCTTGTGCATTTTTACTGGTAAATGGCAGTTTGAAAATGGCCAGCTGCTCTCGCTCTCTCTCTCTCTCTCTCTCTCTGAGATAAATCCATGGAGTGGAGACAAGAGACTTACACCTCCAATCCTCGCCGTTCTCCTCCTCTAAAAACAGGCCTTTCGCAGAAAAGGTCATAGCCCTGCCAATCACCAGGCTATTTTGGGCCCAGACAGGAGGGGAAGTTATTTTTTGCCAGAAGGCCCCCACCAGCAAGGAACGGGGGCTCCCTGATGCTCGTCAGTGGCTGCCTGCTCTTGTCCGTCTCCTGCGAGGAGGAAAGCAGTTGGTTGTGAGGGTGAAAGAGGGCCGGGGTGGTGGTGGGGCGGGACAGGGGGCAGCAGCTGTCTAAAGAGGGCGAGCGCAGCCTTTCCCCGGCGTGTGGATCGTTTACGGCCAGGTTTCGGGCTGCCCTCCTCTGCTGCATCTCAAGGCACCGTTTCTCCTGTCTTACCAGAGCAATGCCGACCCACCGCCTTGTGATTGTCCGGCATGGCGAGAGCACCTGGAACCAGGAGAACCGTTTCTGCGGCTGGTTTGACGCCGAGTTGAGTGACAAGGGCAAGGAAGAAGCCCAGCGCGGAGCCTTGGCTGTCAAAGAGGCCGGCTATGAGTTCGACATCTGCTACACTTCGGTCTTGAAAAGGGCCATCCGCACCCTCTGGTACATCATGGATGGCATCGACCAGATGTGGCTGCCCGTGATCCGCACCTGGCGCCTCAATGAGCGCCACTATGGGGGGCTGACAGGCCTCAACAAGGCAGAGACAGCAGCCAAGCATGGGGAGGAGCAGGTCAAGATCTGGAGGCGCTCCTATGACATCCCACCACCCCCCATGGATGAAAAGCACCCTTACTATCAAATCATCAGCAAGGTCAGTGCTAGCCCCAACGTGGCTGAGAAACAGTCGCCTGGTGTGGCATTCTGGGTCGTGCAGGTCACGTGGTATAATGGTCAGATCAGGACGGCAAGGGCCAGGGCGATTGTCAAGATAAAATGGAGGGTGTCCTGAGCTCCTTACAATAAAGGCAGGTTGTAAATAGACTGAGGTGAACAGATGTATGTTAATGGCAAGGCTGTTGATAGGACAACGCTTGCAAGGATAGGCTGAGTGCTGACAAGAAATATTTTCAAGTGTGAAAAGCCTCTACTGATTCTCCTTTTTAATGGCTAGCATGAAATGTGATCCTAATGAAGACTGAGGTGGAGTAGGTGGTACCGGGCCAAGCATCTGACACAAACTAAAGCAGCTTCTTATGTTTTCCTATGGATACTGTATACATTCTTTATGTGAAATAATGCATTATGTAGAATTCTTCCAATGTTTCTTATGCACAGTAAGTGATAATAAATGGAGGCACGGAATGAATACAAATGTTATACTGCGTACTGTACATGGTATATGCTAAATGGTAGCTTGAACATGTAACAGAGTGCGGTCTGTCATAAATCCATCAGATCTTGTGTCCCTTCAATACCTGGAGATTGACATAAAGGCTGTTTTAGACCTTTAGAAGTGATGAACCTTCAGCTTTTCAGGTGTTTTGGACTACAAAGCTCAAATTATGTAACCATTGACCATGCTAGGGAATTGTAGGCTAAGAGATGTGGAAGACTAAAACTTCCCCAATCCTGTTTAAGGCATCCATGTTTTTCAGTACCAGTCTGAAATTTGGAGCATATGATCTCATTTCTCTTCCAATAATTTATAATATTTTGTCTGCCATCATCAGACAATTACTAATAGACACATAACTTTGGATATTTATTCTCCTTTTCTTCTCCTCCTCCTCCTGTACTTGTTGTTCGCCCCAGGGGTTAACCCCCAAAATCAGAAGGTAGGCTTCAAGCTCCCAAGCCTTCACCTCTCCTGTTTTCTGCCTTCCCCCCCCCTGCATCAAATCAATTCAGATTTATAGAGACCCTTTTCAGGGTTTTCTTAGTAGACAGTTCTCAGAAGTGGTTTGCCATTTCCTTCTTCTGGGGGTATCCTGGGACTGTCCAGCTCGCCCAAGGCCACACAGGCTGCCTCTTCTGGGATGCACAGGGGGAATTTAACTCCCAACCTCTGGTTCTTTAACTAGATAGTGAGTTATCAATCCAGCTTCACCTCTCTTTCTGGGCCTCACTATTCTCCTCTTTTTTTCTTTCTACCATCCAGGCTCGGCGCTATGCTGCTTTGAAGCCTGGAGAGCTGCCTTCTTGTGAGAGCTTGAAGGACACAATTGCCCGTGCCTTGCCCTTCTGGAATGAAGAGATTGCACCTCAGATCAAAGCTGGAAAGAGAGTCTTGATTGCTGCCCATGGCAACAGCCTTCGGGGAATTGTCAAGCACTTGGAAGGTAAGACCCATTTTGTTCATAGTCATCATTTTCTTGTACTTTCTCATTTAATCTTATTTCAAGGTTAGAGAGATGGAAAGCCAACAAGGCAGACTGGCACAATAAGTAGACAGACTGTGTTATTTATCTTGGTCTCCAGGTACTGGGGGACTGAGGGAAGGATGTTGTAGCAGGATGTTATAGACTGCCAAGCAGCTTGTCCTCCAAGTTAGCTTGCTGCCTTACGTGCACTGGAAAATACCGTCTGAAATCCATTAAGTCACAACTAAAGTAGGCCCATTGAACCAGTGGAACTTAAGGAGGAATTAACTACTGATTCAGTTGTCCAACTCTAGTTATGGTTTAACTATTGGATTTTAACAACTGCCTCATTACCAATGTAGAAAGAAGACTGAATTCCTAGTTTGGCTCCCATATGTTCAACTGGATTTTGGGTGCTATTTTGTCCTCTTCTTTAGGAAGCACCAATTATTTAGTTTGGTTGGTTTCTAATCACCTAAATGAAATAGTTTGTAACCACAGCACTGGAAGGACAGAGGCTGATGCAGAGTTCAGAATAACTTTACAGTAATTTCTTTAAAAACATCAGAGATCTGTTTTTTCTAAAAAGAAAACAACTAAATAAAGTGGTATTGTAAGTAGGTAGGAAGTGCCTGTGAAATATGACAAACTGATAAAAGGTTATATGGCTTAGAACCTTATCTTGCCTTCTCAAATCTGAGGGATATTTTTCTCATGTGTACAACATTGGGCACTGAGGACTAGAAAACAGATGAGAGAAGTTTGTATGCTTGGTGTCATGTATAGGCAATTCTTCCCTGATGTTTCTGATCTAGGCTACAGTATAAAGTTAATGTACTAGAAAAAAACAGCCTTTTCTAGCTCGATACTTCTGGTATATGTTGGAATACAATTATGATACCCTGACCTGTGCACCTGGAGGGCACCATGTTGGAGGAGACACCCTAGAATGCTAAGCACATAGGAGGCTAATCTTATACCAAGTCAGATAACTGAACAATCAGTTTCAACATGGTCTGTCCCAGTGCCTGACCGTGTGCTCTCTAGGCTTCCAGTCTTTCCCATCCCTAGCGTGAAAAACCTTCTGCAGCCATGTCGTTACAAGAGCTGGCACAAGAGAGATTACTGCTTGAGGCAGACCAAAGTGGTGTTCTCCCCGCCTGCACTATATGTGCAGATGCCAACTGAAAGAAGTAGAGCCCTCCAGTCTACTACATGGCACACCTTGCTTGTTTAATGGTTGCAATATAGGCTATGTGGCACAGAGGGGAATATACCTCAGAGGAAAATGACAGAAGGGCTCAGGAAGAATAGGTGAGGGGGCTGCTGCTGCCCTTCATCACACATCTAAGTTCACTGCCTCATTCTACCTACTCTTAGGGCCAGGCTGAGTATTGCAGAGCTGTAATATCTCCCCTTTTCAGTTCCTTCAGCTCCACAAACTGACTTAGAATGGTGATGCCTGCAGAGCATTGCTAAGGCCAGGGTACCAGCAAAGGCGGCGGTGTCTTGGCCATCATGAAGAACTGTATCACTTACAGGTGACCTTTAGCTGGGCCAAGTGCCAGTCCTGTGGCCTCCCAGTTATGTATGCACCCAGTCTCTTTCCTGATTGAACCCTTATGATTTCTGTCTCCCTTAAAAAAAATTCTATACTTTCTTCAGTGCTTTCTGTAGGAAGCGTTGCTGAGGACTATAGGATGTCTTTATTTAGTCCATAAAGAAACAAAAAGTAGCCATGTTAGACATTTTAAAAAATCAGAATCCATATTAATATAATAACTTTGTTAGGTCAGTCAGAAGGGGACAGAAAGGTGTGCAGATTTTTAAAATCTCAAGATCCCTTCATTGGGCAAGATATTACATAATGAAGGGCTTTTGAGAGGGAAGGATAATAGGAGCAGATTTGTCTGTCTGATACCCTGAGACGGAATAGGTTCAGAGAGGTTTCTAGACATTCAAATTAAATGTCTTCATTACCGGATTGGGGAACAATTCCCAGAAGCCCCAGCCATGTCCAAAGGAAAGGGGAAATGGTGTGACGCTTTTAGGTTTCAGCTGGAGTAATCCTTAGAACAAAAAGACAGGAAATTTTAATGCTGATACTTGAATTTATGCAAAGTTCATTTTCACTGGCTAAAAGTGATGGCTCCACACACATAATGAGTTTTTAGCAGCAGCAGGGTGTGGGATGCTCCTGATCAAACCTCTGCAACTGATAAAAGAGCTGAGTGTTCTTTAACATGCAAGCTGCTGAAGGTTGTGTTGCTATTTCCAGTCTGGAGTCATATTACAAGACTTTAAGGTGGAGGAGGTCTTGTTCCCAGGCTTGTCTGCTGCCATCTTGGTTTCAGGTCCCGCTAGTAGTCTGGATGTCCAACATTTCCACCCCAAGATTCTGTTTCTCTGACCTCTGTGAATGTGCCCCATCCCAAAGGTCACAGAATTCCAAAAAGGCGTTCCCTCACAACTCGAGATAAAGAGAAGGCAGCAAATGTCAGAGGTCAGACAAGTTATCTCCTGCTCTCTTGCAGCTTCCATTATGCCCTCTTCTGGTAGCTACTGTGACTCCCTCTCTGGGACATCACAATTTCCAGAGACTGAAATATTCTTTTCATTGTCTCTTCGCAATGTATAGCTTGCAGTGTAAGGAACAACACATCTGGCTCATTTTGAATGTTGCATTGAATGCTATTCACTAGACGGAGGCAGAACTCTAGAAGTAGGTAGACGTAATTTGGGAAATCACCACAGGTTACACAGAAGGGATCCGCATATTCCATAAGGGTGGTTTGTTCATGGTTAAACAGCTTGCCCCAGCTGGAATGTGAAATTTCATTGTACACAAGCAGATGCAATGTGTTGTACCGACAAGTGCTATGCACATGAATTATGCTAACATAGCACCATGTCGCTCACTGTAGAAACATTCCTGCAGACATCCTTAGCTGTGTTAGTCTTTTATAGCAATCATGACAAAAGAAACTGATAAGACTATTAGCCTGATTTAGACATAATGCTAACTGTGATTTAGCACAAAGCGGACAAGATGCAAGCTACATATATTCCCCACCCCCACCTATTTTGTAGCCATGGCTGCTCCTGATTTGCAGCTGCCGAAAATTAGTAGTGACTAGAACAGAGTAAAAAAAAATCTTCCCTTCTGGAAGCAAAGGAGACCTCTGCTCTGCTGGCTAACAAAGAGGACTGTATTTTGCAGGAGAGCACCTTGGAGTTGCCATAGTTGTCTCTGAATGTCAGTGACGGCAAAATGAACGACTGCCACCAAATTTCAATAAAAATATAGGTCTGCATGGGTTACAGAAGATGCACAGTTCTTTAGATGCTTCCAACCTTTACTTGGGGTGCTCCACCCTTCTCTTTTGATGTGAATATGAAAGATGAAATAGATAAAGGATTTGTAATGGGATGCACATAATCTGTTTCTCCTCCAATCTGCTCTGATCCAATTTTAGGTGTGTGTAGCTGGGGTTATGGGAGGAAGCTTTCCCACCATATCCTCCACACGACATCCCTTGCAGCCACCTGATAATGTTGCACAAGGGGGTGAATTGTGGTGGAGGGAAGGATCATTTACAATCTGGTGGGGACATCTTCCATAGGTGAAGTTCTTCTGCCGATAAGAAGCAAATCCTGGACCTAACTCAATAATGTAAGAGGGCCATGGAATTAAGTCAGTGGGGGCACACTTCCTTTAATAATAATAATTGTGTGTCATTGTTGATTCCAATTTATGGTAATCCATCTCAGGCTTTTCTAGGTATTGAGTATTCAGAAGTGGTTTCTTCTGGGGGCCTTCTGGGACTATGCTGCTTGCCTAAGGCCACACAGACTGGATGTTCTCCCAGGAGGCACAGTGGGAAACTAAACTCCAGGTTCCTGGCTCTGTAGCCATTGTTCCAATTCACTGAGGAAGGCATTACCTACAACAACCATCATAATATTTTAACCACAACCCATTTGGATTGTTTCTCCTCTACTGCAAAGCCTTCTGTTGTTATTAGGGGCCATCAAGTCACACCTGACTTATGGCAACCCCATGAATGAGCGATCTCCAAAACGTCCTGTCCTCAACAGCCCTGCTTGCAAGCCGCCCAGAGACCTTTGGGTAGAGTGAGCAGCATATAAGTTAAATAAAATAAATAAAATAAATAAATAAACTGAAGCATGGGGCTTCCTTTAGAGAGTCAGTCCATCTCCTCTTTGGTCTTCCCCTTTTCCTGCTGCCTTCATCTTTTCCCAGCAGGCCTTCTGGTCAAGGTTTAATTTTATGACAGAGCTCTGCTTCAAATTTATTTACTTTTTTGAACTGCATCCCCTCACCAGCAGGACCAGATGCCATACTGACTGGAAATTATAATCCCCAAAATTTAGGACTTTGGTTTAGTTTAGAACTTCAGGATCTATTTTACACTATATTGCAAGATCTATCAATAGTTTAAAAATGTCCAAGCTGGTAATAGCTGCGAACTTATTTACATATTTGGTTTTGAGAACAAGCCAAGGGACGTACTGCCACTGGGCTCCGCCTGACTAACATCCCCTCCACTATCCCCTCCCCAGGAATGTCTGATGCAGCCATCATGGAACTGAACCTCCCAACTGGAATTCCCATCGTGTATGAGTTGGATGACAACCTGAAACCTACAAAGCCCATGCAGTTCCTGGGTGATGAAGAGACCGTGAGGAAGGCCATGGAGGCTGTGGCAGCCCAGGGCAAAGTCAAAAAGTGAGAGGAAGAGGAAACGGGCACTGACAAAATAAAACATTTGAAAAACCCACTTTTGTGCATGGAATCTGTCCATTTAGGAGTTCTATCTTGTACAAATAGAATGAGAAACTATTGGGTTTGGAAATGGATCTGTATTATTTAACAAATGCTCTATTTAACTATGATTGCTTCTATGCTGGAGGCTTTTGGTGCTGGTGACACACTGTTTTTCTATCATCAAGAGGAAGCATAATCAGTTTTGCAAAAGCAGTAACATAAGCACTGTATTATCCAGCAATTCTAATTCTTCATGGGCAAGATCCTCATCTAATGTTTACTTACAAGTAACTCCTGTTTAACAAAAATCCTGTACAGCTTTAAATTTGCTTTCTGTGTGAAATTCTGCTCCCTTTCATGTTCTGTGTGGCTGGGAGAACTGGGATGAATTGCTCCTTAATTCTGTTTCCTCTTGGAGAAGAGGCTTCAGTGTGTCTTTTTTCACAGCAAGAACAGGTGGACAAATGAAAATTGTTGCATTGAAAGGAGCAATGCAAACCTGGAAAGGCTCTAGTAGTGGCTTGTTCATCTACATGTACACATACAGGTTCATACTCTATTCACATATTATATGACTAAAAAGGTAAAGGTAAGGGTTCCCCTTGACATTTTTAATCCAGTCATGTCCGACTCTAGGGGGCAGTGCTCATCCCGTTTTTCAAGCCTTAGAGCCACCACTTGTCCAAAGACAGTTTCTGTTGTCACGTGGCCAGCATGACTAGGGAACGCCATTTTACCTTTCCACCGAGGTAGTACCTTTTTATCTACTCGCATTTGCATGCTTTCGAACTGCTAGGTTGGCGAGGAGCTGGGACAAAGCAATGGGAGCTCACTCCGTCACGTGGATTCGATCTTATGACTGCTGATCTTCTGACCCTGCAGCACAGGCTTCTGCAGTTTAGCAGTAAAATTAAATTATGTGAAAGCAGCTCCATCTCACCATATACGGTGTTTCCATGCACTCAGGGAAATATTCAAAGGGCCTTGCAGAGCTTTGGCAATTCAGAAGATGGAAAACTTAATTGAGAGTGACTGCCAGCTTGGGGAAATTTTACTTTGCCACTTTCATTTTCCTGTCTTGAAATTAGCTGACAATAATGTTTTCCTTACCTGTGTGTTTATTGTAAATAAGAGTGCCAGAATCTGAACACATTAGATATTCTGAGCCACTAGCATAAATGTTGTGTTGACAGACATCTCCGGAAAGTTTATATGGAAATGAATAACCCTCCATTTACAAAGAGAGTGTGGGTGGTGTTTGTTGTGTTGATTATAAGAACATACTATATATACACTGTGAGATAAGGAATAAGAATGTGCCTCAGTAAATGTAAGGATTGACTACACATGTTAAAAACACTGGCCTTATCTCATTTTTTTTAATTAAAGCAAGCATATTGAACTGTCCCCAGTGAGGCAGATGATTCTAGTATTTGGGGGCACTTTTGTAAATTATGATCAGAGGGACCTTCTAATCACCAAGATGTTTCACTAAAGGATGGGACATTATTTTTAAGATAAGTTATCACATTTAAGGAATAGTTTGCTGTCCTTTCTCATAGTTAATTATTCAATGAGTAGCTTCTTACGGTATTCATTCACAGCAAGTATTTTTGGGGAGGTACACATTAAAAACAGAAAAACATGACGACTCCCAGCAACATTTTAGCAAAAAGGGAAAGCATTATTTATACTAAAAGCAATGTTAACAGTCATTGCATTTCTTTCAACTCCCCCAAGCAGTGGTGTTGATAAGTTACCCAAAAAGTGTCATTAAATGCAATGTATTCCATTCATCTTCAAAAAAAAGGTAAAGTTATACACACTGCTATCAGAGTACCACAAGACATTTCCCCAGAAGACCAGTTGGAATATTTTCCCCAGTTCCATACTGGACTCTACACAGCGACTACACTTGAATGCCAAATTAGAATTTGCTTCCATTTTCCTCAAAGCCTGTATTGCATTTAAATCCATAATCAATGCTTGCACAGGGGCTGCAGAACATTTCAGGAATTCACTGTTCACACTGGACACTTTGTGATTGGCATTCCAGCCCACAGCCTCCTTTCTTTCCTTCCTTTCATCTTGCCCCTGGTTTTCCTTTTAGGGATTCTTGTAAAGCAGCTTAGTTTTCAATTACACACATTCCATGGCATTGTCTTTCATTTCATCTTGCTTGCTTCTTTTTTTGTTCTCTGTGCAGAGGTGATCCAGTGAAATACCTAACCCCTCCCAGTGTTCTCTCCTCTCACTGATTGTTCTCTGATTTTTTAAATTTTTATTTTCTTTGAATTTAGCTCTGGGTCACCTTTGCACATAACTTTTTTTGTAAAAAAAGCACGAACGTTCGTATCAACAGCAAGGATGGGGCATTGTCCTCCCTATTTCTAAAGACAGCAGACCCAGTTAATGGGTGTAAGACAGGCTGCGTCATAGCCATAGCTCTTCAAAGGGGAGGGTGGTGTCCAGAACTGGACACACTACTCAAGGTGAAGCCTAACCAGTGCTGAATAGAGGGGGACTAGCACCTCCCAGGATTTGGAAACTATACTTCTATTAATGCCTTTTTTGTAGCCACATCACACTGTTGGTATAGTTTCCAAATCCTGTGAGATGCTAGTTCCCCTCAATTTGGCACTGGTGAGGCCTCATCTTGAGTACTGTGTCCAGTTCTGGACACCACACTTCAAGAAGGATGCTGACAAACTGTAACAAGTTCAGAGGGGGGCAACAAGGATGATAAGGGAGATGGAAACCGAGCCTTATGAGGAAAGACTGAAAGAATTGGACATGTTTAGCCTTGAGAAAAGAAGATGAGGGGCGATATGATAGCAATTTTCAAATATTTGAAAGGCTGTCATACAGAGGAGGGGCAAGACCTGTTCTCGATCATCAGAATGCAGGACACACAACAATGGACTCAACTTACAGGAAGCCAGATTTCAATTGAATACTGTAGCTAACAGCCCTGCCCGCACCTGTCCGTCACAGCTGAGCAGTAGAGAAGGAGCCAATGAGAGGACGGAAGGTGGAGCCAAGGGGGGAGGGGCTGGATATAAAGACGTGTATGGAGTCTGAGGAGAGATTCTGTGAGTGAGAGACAGTGTGAAACTTAAAAGTGAACTTAGAGTGAGGTAGAGTTCTGTAAGAACGCTGAATGGTACAGAGAGTTATTAGAGATTTAAAGTCAAAGTAGAACTGATATAAATATAAATGATTAGCAACCTGTGATTTACTTATCGAATAGTAATCAGATGTTAACTTCCCAGATCTAATAAATGAGTTAAGGTTTTAAAAGCACACTTGTCTCCTTGATTAAATGGTATTGAAGCAGCAATACCTGGTGGCAGCGAAGAAAGAAGAGGGGCGAGAACCTCGTGAAGACCTGAGGGAATAGGGCTTCAGAGGGGATCGCCACAAATACATATCAGGAAAACTTCCTAACTGTTAGAGTAGTAAGACAGTGGAACCAATTACCTCGAGGGGTGGGGAGTGCTCCAACACTGGAGGCATTCAAAAGAAACATAAATAACCACCTGGCAGATATCTTTTGATTTGTATTCCTGGATCAAGCAGGGGTTGGACCTGATGGCCTTATAGGCCCTTTCCAACTTCACTATTCTATGCTTCTATGATATTTTCAGTGTCCACACTTTTGGAGAAACTGACAGAAGCACAGTCACCACCCCCTTCTTTTCTCTCACTCTTGTCTCTTCTTAACATCATATAACTTACTTGTTACAACAGCTCTATGAGCTGCCAGTCTGTTCCCGGACACAATTCAAAATGTTGTTTTCGACTTATAAAGCCCTAAATGACTTGGGTCTGAGTTATTTGAAAGGCGCATTTCTATTTATGAGGCAGCTCGAGTTTTAAAAAGTACAAGGGGAAACCGTTCTCTCTCTTCCACCACCCTCCCAGGTACATTTGGTGAGGAGACAAGAAAGGTCTTTTTCTGTCACTGCCCCCAAGCTATGGAACTCAGTCTGGACCCCTCTTTGCCGTTCTTCCACAGGCAGGCAAAGGTATTTCCCTTCAAACAGGCTTTCTCTTAGCGAAGAGTTGGGATGCTGTTTTTTCTTTGTTTTTTCTTTGTTTCCCCATCCCTTTTCAGTTTTTATTTTTTTATTTTATTTGCATTGTAAGCTGTCCTAGACCCTCTTTAGGAGAAAGGCAGGATATAAATATTTTAAAAAAATAATAATGAATGATGTATATGACCTACCCAAGGCATTATTTCTTATGGGAAAGATGGGCTAGAAAATATAACTCTTCCACATCCTCATATTAGACAGAGACCATACAAGGTTAATATACCTGTGACCAGCTAGCTTACTTTCCCGTGCTTCCCAGAAGGTGCATTACCCGTCAACAGAAGCAGTGAGTTGTAGTAGTATAAAGCCAATGGAGTAGGGGGTTTGGAAAAGAAGTATCACCTTTAAATTGATCCAAAAGAACCCACTCCACTGTTTATTGTGGGGGAAGTATATGAAAATACTAGGCAGTCTTTATAGCCTAGCCTCCCTACACTGATATTGGCAGGGAGGAATGGAAAACAGTAGCACCCAACCTGTCTAAAATGTGTGTGTGTAAAACTCTTACATGCTGAATGATACAAACTCCTTCACTCCTTCACATACTCCTTCACTGACCTTGCTAGCATGATATAACCTTGATAAAATAAGTTACTCTCAGAACAATATAGGATATGATGTGTGATTTCTTTCAACATAAATTGCTCCCACTAAGTTGGTGACATGATATTGATGAGAGTGAATAAATGTGTTTTACACAAATGATTTCTAATCCAGCACACCTACTCCCATAATCAACAGTGAGGACTACAAGTAAGTCTGGAGGGAACAAGGAAGCCTGAGGGGTGACACCTGATGATGTAATCATCTCTGCTAATCAAAAAGTACCAGAGGTCAGAACTTATTCTGGCTCTAGCACATCATTGCTACTGATTACAAGTTAGTCAAACCAGCACACAACAGAAGTGCCTTGCTG